GGGTGGGGTTTTCCTCTCTTTTAATACCGTGTGTTTTCCCTGCCCATGGGGGGGGGGGCGGGGGTGGGAGTGTGGCAAAACTGGCAGGGCAAGCTACTGTATATAAACAGAGAGCAAACCCCACCCTCCCTCGCACTGATGATGTTCCCTAGTCGGGTCGTGAAACGTCTGCAGGGAAACCACCAAGCTCAGGGAGCCCCACGGACTGCACAGTTCAACCCTGAGCTGCTGAGATTCTCTTCTATTGGAGCCATCCTGTGTGTGTGAGCGGGGACATGAATCTGGTTCTTCCCGGTGGCAGTCCAGCACCTACACCACTATATCTCTTTCTTGCCACCTGGGGGGTGTCTAGGTTCTGCAGTCCAGCTCTGTTAGCCCTACTCAATGCTCAGGATCTCCACGAGAAAAGACGATGCTATCTGGATCAATCTCCACCCCAGAGAACTTCTTTTTCTGTTCCTGCTGATGCTTGTTATGCTATATGCGAACATTTGCCAACCCGGTGCTCTCCAGTTCTGTTCAGATACAACTCCCATTATCCCCAGCCAGCACATGCTCAGGAGAGAGGCATTGCGCTCCAACAAGGCTGGAAGGCACAAGATGGAGAATGGCCGGCTTACAGAATTTGCATCCTCGTCTTTTTGCCTTTCCATATGGGATCGTAGGAAGCAGAGAAGAACATCCATTTTGGGGGGGGGGTGTATGGGGGCGGGCTGGTATGAAATGACATCTGGGGTATGCGTGCACGTTCCTAAATGGGCTGTCATGGTAACTCTAGTCAGAATGCACTGTTTTTGGGGGGCACACACCCAGTGACTCACCGGTTATACTTTCTAACACCATTGTCCTGTAGGATCTACGGGGGGCCTGGAACCGTTCTCGTAAATCAGCGTTTCTCGATCTCAGAGTCTTTAAGGATCTGTGGACTTCAGCTCCCAGAATTCCACGTGCTGTGGCTGGGGAATTCTGGGAGTTGAAATCCACACATCTTAAAGGCTCTGAGATTGAGAAACACTGCCGTAAATAAAGCTGATGCTAAGAGGCATTTTGTTGGATAGCATGCCAGCATCCCCAGGGATGATGGAGGAGGATTCTGAAGTCGGACGGAATAAGGAACCAGGAAAAATGAAGAGAAGTGTCTCTTTGGTTGCAATGGGATTTCTCATTTCGTTCACTTGTTCTGAAAACTGCCGTTTTGTCAGAGTCATCTTTCTGCTCCATTTTTATCAGTTTCATATCAAAGCTCTGAAAGGTTGCCCTGGGCACGTTTTTGTTCTCAGGGGTGGTACAAACATTTTATCAGCTGCCTTTGGAGGGGGATCTCCCCCCTCCCTGAAAGACATAGGGATCCAACCCTCCTGCCTTTTAGGGGAGTGCTAAAGACTAGTTTTTCCAGCCAATCTCAAAACAGAGTGGTTTTGAACCTGCATTACAGTTTTTATTTTTAATTCATTTTGTATTCCCCCAATGCAGTGCTCGGTTATTCCACTGTTATTATTCGTTTCTTCTTTGTTCTTTTTTGGTTGGTTTTATGGTGGGTTTCTGACAGTTTTGTATGCCACCCTGACGGACCTTTGTTCTTAGGTGGCCTATAAATTGAACACATGTAATTAGACACATTTCTTGGGATTTCTCCTTGGTTAATTTCAGAGCAGGCAGTGCTGAAATCCATAGACCAAGGTTTCTCAGTCTTAGCAACTTTAAGATCTGTGCACTTTAACTCCCAGAAAACTGGTTGGGGAATTGTGGGAGTTGAAGCCAAGGGATCTTAAAGTTGCTAAGACTGAGAAACCTTGGTCTATGGATTTCAGCACTGCCTGCTCTGAAATTAACCAAGGAGAAATCCCAAGAAATGTGTCTAATTACATGTGTTCAATTTATAGGCCACCTAAGAACAAAGGTCCGTCAGGGTGGCATACAAAACTGTCAGAAACC